CAAAACAAGCCTTATATTGTGACGTGCTATTTTAGTAACCAATAATCTTAACATTATCTATTTCGTTTGTTTTTTAATTGCAAACATAACGGCAAATCATCATCCCTCATTTGTGTGATGAGCAAACTCTACTGTATTACTCAAACTTAGCTGACCGTAAAAACTAAAATAAAATTTGCACAAGCCAATTTGCACAAATTATTTGAACGTGAAACATTGCTTTAATGACAAATTATAGCAATTTAATTGTACAGTTAAAGATCGTTAATATTTATTCCAACCATACGGCAAAAATATCTACGCAAATCAAACGATTTCCGTTCATATAAAAATGCACAGTTGGACCCTTGCAGATAAATTGTTACGATTTATCGTTACGTTTGTAGCCACTGTGTTCTATAATTGTTATTTAAGTACTGAGAGAAAACTGTTTAAACTAACATTAATTTCTGGCTTTTCATCGATCCTTTCCAAGAGTTATAATCATTATAGATGTGCTAATGCAATAAAGGTGTATCTCACAATAACTGATGCTAAAATATAATTTACATTGCTATACAAATTCATAGTATACGTTTATTTTAGAACCGGGTCTGTCAGTTGAGCGATATGCCACGAAAATACGGTTTAATTAAGTCAAATCCATACGATTCGCTTAATTCATTGTTGAACAATTTACTACCTTGAATTCCCAAAAACAATAGAATGCACTAAATTAACGAAGGCGTGTTCGTTCACCGCGATCTGCAGCACGTTTCCTTGCATTATTAAATGCTATTGTTGAATTCTTTGTGCAGACTTCACCCTTTCTCGTAAAATTTAACGTTATCCGGTGAATATTTTTTTGAGAGACTTTGTTTAATGTCTGTGCCTGATTTAAACTATTTCATTTATTAGGGAAAATAAATGAGAAAGGCTAAAATCAGTACTTCCCACATTTCAACGTTCCATATTATGCACTCTCAGAGCAATTAGAAGTATATTAGGTTTCTCTTAAACCTGTTTACCAATTTTTATTAAATATGAATCACTAAATTGGAGATAATACGACTGGTCACAATTTTGTGGATATAATACTACTTAATATTTATTCAATGATACTAATGCATGTTTACTGCGATAGAAAATTTTGACCCTGTTGTTTACATTTGAAAAGTAACTTACTTACACGTTTTTGTTATTGACATTGCGTTTGTCTGACATAAGCCTATCAACATTTTCTGTATTTACCAAAATGATGGTTTCATTTCGCTAAATTTCTTATTGCGCTTGCTCAGTCAATGAATTTAAAGAACAACGCGCATGCGAAACAGGTGACGCTACAACGCCCTTACAGGAAAGAAAAGAAATATTTATAGTATATTGTGTCACAAGGGCAGAAAATGAGCATTAGTAGCCCGCAGATATTACCTGCAACTGATAGCTAAGAGCTACTGTTTTTCGCCTAGCATTAAACAAAATCAAAAATAGGAAAATATAACAAAAATCATTAATTTCATAAATATAAACTTAATTTAATAAGAAGCTTAAGTAGTAATAATTTGCGAATTTATGGTGACTTATTTCTACAGAAGTTATAACAAATTCAGAAAAATATTGCTAGCTGCCTCATGCAAGTCCGGTGTGGAGTATTCGTAAATTCTTTGTCACTGTCTGAATTACCATTCATTTGAACTTATTCACAGAATTACAGTTGTTCACAACTTATTATTTTACACTTTTGTTGTTTGGTATGAATCCAAATTTTAGTTTAAATTGACATTTAATGAAAAATTATATAAAACGTCAACGTACGCAAATGATAAGCAAATGTATACAGATTGTGAATAACTACAAAATCGTGATACAAATTGAGCGGCCTTAGGTTCGATAAATATTACTTTGGGTCATAATTTTAGGGTCAATATGATTCATTTTCACATACGCTAGGCGAAAAAATATTTTATATCCGCTAATTTTATCAACGCTATACCGATTTCGAAACATGCCGCATACAAATAAAAAAAATAAACTGAACTGACCCAATTTTTTGTCTAATTTGTTGAGTCCAAAACTGTTGAATGTAAAGTCGATTTTATAGTAGTAGTAACCTAAATCTATTTATGCTGATATAAGTTTATTAAGTCCAGTTCTGGGACATGTTCTTTGGATCATATTAAGCCTAGGTCTTAAGAAGAGTTCTTGAGCCATTTTCCTAGAGGTGTTGAAATTTAAAATAATCACATTTTTCAAATATGTCTGATGATAAATCTCGGGTTAGTGTTTCAACTAATTAAAGGAAAAAATTCTCTGAATGGGGTATTTGCAGAAAAGTGTACTGAATATCATTCCTCAATGAAAGATAATGTGAATTATAATAACTGCTTATATCAATTTTTATTTGATTTAAAAAAATTTTATTCGATTGATACAGCATTGTTTCTTGTGATGTACTAGACTATGCCTACGTCCTCTTTGCCTCTCTTTATTAAATAAACAGGTAGTTGAACTTCCCATTAATAGACGGCGCAATTAAGGCTTAGTCTAATACGTCACAACTGTCCTCCAAACTGGTTAGCTTATTTCATTTCATGGTAATACATATCTGAAAAGGTGGCAAACACCCCTTTGTTCGTGCAGATATATCAACCAGTGTTGGAGATATCGAGGGTTACTGTTGCAGAAACCCTCAGAAGTTTTTCAGGAATTCGATCAGTTAATTTTATTCGTGATTGCATTTCAAATGAGGCAGATAACCATTTTTTTCGAACAACTGCTTAATTTCGAGTTATTAAAATTAGCATAAAACACAGTTGAATAATTCGAAAGAAAATTCCAGTACAATTAGTTCACAAACAAAATTTAAACAATTTTTTATTCCAAATACAATTAAAAAAACAAACAAAAAATTGCATTTTTCGAATCCGAATAGCATGGGAGCAAAAATCACAAAAAATTAAAGTGTTTATTTGGACTTTTCATGGTTTAAACAATTTTTATATATATTTTTTGTGAATCGAATAATTTGATATAATTTATTATTTACTCAGTTGTTGTTAAGCTTATTTTAAATTAAGGAATTCGAGGATTACTTGTTTTCCGAATAAAGTGGAAAATATATTTTTTTATTTGAAATACAATTAGGAATCAAATACCCCGAACGAAATTGCAAAAAACTCAGTGGTGTAGAGGTTCTGATATTTTTAATAAGGCCCCTAGGTATCTTTCTGGTCCCCATATTTACAAAAAAATCTAACGAATATTTGCCGTCAATTAGTTAAACCGCTAGCCCAAGTTACATCAGTCTACGTAAAATATGTTTAGGCATAAATTTAAACACCCAGTATATCGAACATCAGTAGTTTTAGACTTATAGTCCATTAAGACCTTTTCGCCTAAAATGATGCAAAGAACATACTCCTGAAGTTATCACGTCAACTTAAAAAACACCCTATATGTGTTTTTTATATTTGCTTCGACTTTAGTATGAATTTGAAAAATTGACTTATTAAAAGAAATAAAATTTCATATGTAAATTTTAGTTTATAACAATTCATTGACATAGTAATGATAATATTAAAATATTCATAAATTTTTACTTAATTCGTTATTTTATATTCCAAATTCATAAAATTAATAATGGAATTTTTAAAACCTAATTGGAAAACACTGTTTACTTACATCATTTTACGATGATGTGTATTTTTAAGGTAAGGTAACATTATCCAACCACTGAGATGATGCAATGAAAGAAATGAATGCAACATAAATAATTTTCCTTTGCCTATAAAAATGCTTTGTCTGTAGGCAATATTCTCTTTGTATGTAGGTACACTAAAATATTTATTGCAGTTGAATCGAACATTTGCAGTTATCCTTTTCTATAAATAAGTACTATAATTTTACTACTGTGAATTTGCAACAATAAAATTAGAATTATACGTATTTGGCAATGTATTTATTTATAACAAAGAAATAAGAAAATAAATTTTAAAATTATGTTACTATTATGCCATACTTAATATGTCAAATAAATACTAAATCATTAAATGAAGTATACTATACGAAATTTAATAAAATGTTTATTTAAGTTTTCCTTCTATGTTTTACTTTTTATTTTTAACCGAGTGGCAAATAATTGGCATCTATACATGAGAAGCATCATCTTTAGTGTCTATATTACTTTCTTAAAATGGACACTATTTCCTGTTTGCTATCCGCAAAGATATTTTTAGAACCTGTGCCGTCGTTGTGTAAACTTAATTAATAATTCATATTAACCGTATACGCGTATATAATGATTCAAAATTAACACGACCAAATTAGGTAAGAACGGCTCATTTCCTTAATTGCAACTAGGGTTGACAACCCTTTACCAACCAATTGGTCAGTCCTTCTTTCGAAAATGTTCTCCGTTAAAGGTTTGTTCTCTTTCATCTATCTACATTGAACACTTCAATATTTCAATAACTTTTCGAACTGATTTATAATATTTATTTTATATTTAATAAAACTGACAAAAACCTTTAAACTGCTAAAAGATAAATACCTATATTATTTTCCAATAATTTTACGTACAAATGATGGTGTTTTAGAATTTTTAATTATTTTTTGTTTTAGTTTATTAATATTAAATAATTATTTGTTTCTGTTTTGTTATTGTTTATTTTGTTTTGTATATGTTTTCAAAATGTTTGTATTTTTGCAACATATTTAAAAAAACATTCTTCTCATCATTTCAATGTTGGCGACTCTAATAGCAATATTAAATTATTAATATATTAAAGAGACCGCATTATTTTACCTTATTGTAACTTCAAAATTCACTGAGCACGTTCTTTTGACGAAAAGCTTATAGGTGGTGCATACAGCAATAGAGTTATTAATATTGTGAAAAAATGTATGTCTCTTTGAAAAGAATATATAGAAATATTTTTTTAAAACAATAAGTTGATTGTGTAGTCTAATTCAACACGATAGACTTTGCACTAGTCATTTACAAACCATTTTATTTCTTCCAGTTTTAACTGACATCGACATCAACTCATACGATGACAGTACATTGGGAACACCCTCTGTGACCTCATACAGGATGAACCAAGATGTGTTATGTATTCAACCACCCTCCTTACGAACTCAAGGCTCCTTTAGATCTACTAGAGATACGGCCAACTCATCTTCTAAGAGAAATATTTCTAATCCACCGGAATCGCAGTGTCAATATATCAAGTTTAGAGGTAAATTTTCTTTTATGGGTTTCAAACATTTGTTCATTTCTGCTCAATTTGTGTTTTTAACATATTTTTTGTTTCAGAGCGTTCATATAGCGACATACAGCATGTAGAGAGAAAACCATGGAGAGCTATAGCAGGTCGTCAGTTTAACTAAGGACTTCCAGTTTGAATACCTAGTCATATCCAAAGCCATAGCTTCGTTTAACATACCAAATCCATCTAACTGATCATATTACCATTTGGATTCTTTACGACATACGTAACGTTGCCTAACTCTTTTATATGCTATTTATATGCTATTTACTGGATTTTTTAGAAAGACTTTCGATATAAATATTTATATTTTTTAATAATTTTTGCATTACTAGTTTGTAGTTAGGTTAATTGTTTGTGTACTCTAAATTTTTGTGATTTACAACTTAAATGTTATAGACTCTATATGACCAAAGATTCTACGGAAATCTTTCATAACCAAGGGTAAGAAATAGGGTTATGTATTTGTTAGATACTCTACAATTAGTGCATAGAATTAGATATTAACACCTAGCTATAGTTCTATGATCTACTCGTATTGTGTATTTATATGTATTAAAATTTTGAAGGTACTTATTGCATCAATTCTTTTGTCTTCAACCTCAATTTGACCTGAATACAAAAATTAATTTCTTATTTGAAATATTGAATTCCAAGTAAACACATTTTAATATTCGTATTTAAATATTTGTGATCAATATATGGATAACTTTATCCACAAATATTTATCAAATTAAACTCCTAATACACTAAACCAAACAATTAAAGGGTCAAAAGAATTTCCGAAATTTTTCCGAGATTTTTGACACTGTTTTTAAGTGAAAAATGGTTGTATCGAGAAATAAAAAAAAGCATTTTGAAGCTCTAAGATTCTATTTTTTAGATATTTCGGTAGAAAATTTTTAGGAGCTACGGTTATCATGCAATTCCAAGAAATAGCGCGACAAACATTTTTTTTTTATTTTTTTCTCCGAGGACTTGGAAATTTTTTTTTCAGCTAAGCCATTGCATGGACAAGATAGCTTGTTTATTTAGCTTTAATTTCCTTTTTTTTAAATTTCGATACGACCATTATTCATCGAAATATCGGACATTTAATGGAAAGCGATCCTTTTGTCTTCAATCATCAATAACTCGGCGACCAATGGTCGTACAAAGAAGTGAAGAGCAGTTTCGAAAACTGTAATAAATGTCCTATAACATGCTGCAGCAATTTTTCGGAATTTTTTTTTATTTTCGTCTTTTACACGAATTTAAAAATACAGGAAAAACGGGTAATTTATGTTTTTTTAGAAAATTGACGGCTAAATTAGAAATATTCACGAAATGACTAATGTCAAGCATGACATTTACAGTTAGATATACCTACAGTGACTATATACAAGACAGTGGCGACAATAGAGTGTATCATTTTTNTACAGTGACTCTATACAAGACAGTGGCGACAATAGAGTGTATCATTTTTAATTGGTCCACGTGATTTTAGCTGCCATGTTGCATCCAGTGTCAAATTCATCTGTGAAATGTCATGGTGTCAGGAGCGTTCTTATGGTGTTATTCAATATTTGTATTGTTTTATTTTAATTTTGGTGATTACTAGTGAAACTATTGGGTATTCTGTGCTAAGGGATAGTTATAATGTCTGCAGAAGCTTCATGAGGATGATGACCGTGAATTTCTTTCAGGCTTTTTGGACACCATTACAAAAAATATAAGACCTACTTATAAGGAGGTTAAGGTTCCTGCTAACATAGAAGAAATAAAATTTAATCTTAGTTTTAGTGAATTAAATTATCTTTATAATGTGTGCGGATATATTGCCCAAAGTATCGTTAAAACATCAAAAACTTGTACAAACTGTCTGCATGCTGTTGGCTCTAAAACGCCGATCTATAAAACATGTTCAAAATTTAGCGTACTTAAGAGATTTAGAGAACATTCAGTATTTTTTGCAATGAAGCGGTATTTTGTTTCTTCTTGCAGATGGAAAGTACTTTTACAACATTTTTTGCGATTGAATCTTGACAAACAGTTTTTCTTAAAAGAAACGTCTGGTTTAAATTTAGATCTACCAAATTGTCATCAGATTAAAAATAAAATTGTTAAAAGATTTATTATGTTCCGATTAAAAATAGCTTCCAAAAGATGTCAAAAAGCATGCAAAAAGCTTGCAAGTAAACGTGTTGCTGGACATTTATTGTGACAAATACTATCACTGGTATTAAGTATTCGTTTTTCTAATGTAAACCTAATAAATTTCATTGTGTAATGTAGGTATGCTTAAATTTACTTGCCTTGAAAATATAAACCAATAGTTGTTATTATTATATATTNCGCCCCATAGAAATGCACGACATTGTTATGCGAGAAAACAAAGCGCCTGCAATAGATAAACCCGCAAAAATGACAGAAATGCGTGTTTAAACACGTTTTTTTTCCGGGGAATTTCCAATGCGGCGCAAAACAAACGAGGTCGCTGAAGGATATGCACATTTACAGCTACACGAGATAAATTTCACGGAACGCGCGACGAGTCCTGTTGATTTTGCACTTTGCGAACATTTATGGAAGCGTGAAGTGTCTATCGAGTGGACACGGGACAACGGGACGAGTCGCGGCAATGATATATGGCTTCATATAATCCCCCAGTTCTTACTCCGGTCGCCGCCGGCATCCGGAGGACGGAGCAGCCGTATGTTACGTCGTGGATGGCGGTAATGTTTCAAAATAAATTTAATCGCGAGGAATGGGACCTGCTCGGTAGAATCGGCCAGTAAAGCTAGGAGGGCTAGTGGTAGTCGTCATCACCAGAGAGCGGGGTGCGCGTATTCTTGAGTCAACAACACTCTTCCTTGTCAAAATAAAATGTACTATACACTAATGCAAGAAATTAAAGGGTCAAAAGAATTTCCGAAATTTTTACGTGATTTTTGACAGACTGTATTTAGGTGAAAAATGGTCGTATCGGGAATTAAAAAAAAAGGATTTTGAAGCTGAAGATTCTAGTTTTTAGAATTTCTAATTAATGCTTGTACAGTCTGTAATCACTTAAAAACAGTTTTTCAAAACTACCCTTTTTCTTCTGAAAAAAAATTTTTTTTTTCATCAATTTAAATGTTTGCGGTAAAAATGCGAGAACCTCAAAAAAACATTTTTTTCCATTTTAATCATGATTATGAAGTGTTTAAGCTCAAAAATCGTGACCCTTTAATTTTTTTCAAAAGTTTGACTGTTTGAAACAAAGAGACGGTTCGTTAGATCGAGACATAAATTACCCTTTTTCCTGTTTTTTAAAATTCGTGTAAAAGACGAAAAAAAAAAATCTGAAAAGTTGCTGCAGCATGTTACCTATAAAAGTCCTAACTTTTATTGCAGTTTTCGAAACTGCTCTTCAATTTTCTGTACGACCATTTGTCGCCGAGATATCGATGATTGAAGGCAAAAGGATCCTTTTCCATTAAAAGTTCGATATTTCGATGAATAATGGTCGTATCGAAATTTAAAAAAAAAGGAAATTAAAGCTGAATAAACAACCTATCTGGTCCATGCAATGGCTTAGCTGAAAAAAAAATTTCAAGTCCGTGAACTCGGAAAAAAAATAAAAAAATATGCAAAATTTTTTTGTCGCGCTATTTCTTAGAAATACATGATAACCGTAGCTCCTAAAAATTTTCGACCAAAAGATTTAAAAACTAGAATCTTAGAGCTTCAAACTGCTTTTTTTTAATTCTCGATACGACTATTTTTCACTTAAATACAGTGTCAAAAATCACGGAAAAATTTCGGTAATTTTTTTGACCCTTTAATTGTTTGTATTAGTGTATTGCTGTATTCAAATAATAATGAATATAGTAAATGTTCACTAAATAGACCATATTTTATCTTAATTGATCTCCAACTAGTTCATATTTTCAAAACTCTGTAGCTATACTCGTAAATCATTTTGACAAATACTTAAACGAAGTTTATATTAGGAGACTGTTGATTTTTACAAAAAAATAAAACTCTTCTACAATCTGTAAAACGAAAAATACTTTTTTCAATAAACTGCAACAAATAAATAAACAAATTCTGCATTTAACCTAGATTTTCCATGAACATACATATGTCATGCATGACTTGCTGCAACAAATACTTTTTTGGTATTTTACGGTGTATTTTTGAGAAAAAAATAGAATATATTTTAAATACAGTGTGTTTCCGGTTGAGGTACTGCACTCTTGTAAACTTTTTTTTTGTGACCTGTTCCTATGACGTTTCTACAAAACTGCTGACCTAATACTACTAGTGTAATAGCAGCGGCCTGCCAGCTACAGTGAACACGGGCGGGGTCAACTAGGATGAATATTTGGAGCGCCACTTGGTTAAGCCCGGCTGCTATACTATCAGGTTAAAACCAAGAAAACCCAGGGTGTCGCTACTTCTTTAAGGTAAGTAAGTTATCAAATCAGTTTTTTTTTCAAAAGAAAAGTATTTCCTTTCAAGTAGTATCTATATGTACCTATTAGGTAAAAATTTAACAAATTCGTTCGTACGATAATTTTGTTAATTAAATAATTCGCCCTATACTTCAATATAGGTAGTAATATTATATCCGTGTAGTAGTATTTAGGATTTGGCGCGGGTTTTACCGAACGTGTATACACGTGCAGTGCATAATCAAAATAAAGATAACATACAGGGTGTTCCAAAGAGACCTTCAATTAGACGTTTCTGGAAAACTACGCGTACTGGAATTCTGAAAATTTATGTACGGGGGTTTCTCCTAATGTTCTATCGATTGAAAATATTGGCGTCATCGTGGAACTTCCGGGTCTACCGGAAGTAGACGTCAACTCGCTTATTTCAAATGGAATGAATGTACTATTTTTTATTTAATTTTTGGATTCTATATCGAATTTTAAGATAAGTTTCATAACCTTACTTTATCCTTAACCTCAATCGTTTGTGAAACATTTTGACTTTTTCAAAATTTTTGAAAAACATACCTACACTTAATCGGTTCTATCTCCTCCAATTTTTAAGATAGGAAGCTGAAATTTTAGAAGGTCAATACCAAAACGTGTCCAAATATCTGGAATATTCGAAAGTTGGTGCATGTTACACAGGGCGTCTAAAAAACACGGACCAATTGTGTCAAATTGAAAGTTTAATAACTCGCTTATTTTAAATAGAACACCCTGTGTTTTATAATGCCAGTAGATGCACCTGTTAATTCTCTTTCCATTGGTATAAGCATTCCCTATACCTAAATCCCACCGATTTTGAGATATTTGAACATAAGTACAGAGACGAATATAATCCGACAGTTAGCTGTAGGTTGGCTGTGGAAAAACATTTAAATGTCACCAAGTGTCATTACTTATTTAGCAGATTTGCTGTCATTGCTGTAAATCGAGTTTGTGGATATTCCAAGTGTCTTCAATAACAATGGCACACTCTGGGTACACACACGACGACTAC